AGAAAGAGAGAGGGAGAGAAAGAGAAAAAGAGAGAGACAGAGACACACACAGAGAGAGAGAGAGAGAGGGAGAGAGAGAGAGGGAGGGAGGGAGAAAGAGAGAGACAGAGAGAGAGAAAGAGAGACAGAGAGACAGAGAGAGAGAGAGAGACAGAGGGGGAGAGAGAGAGAAAGAGGAAGAAGTGGAGGAAAGAAGGAAGGAAGGCAGGAAGGAAAGGATAAAAAGAATAAGGGAAGAGAGACAGGAAAAAAGGAAGGAATGAAGAAAAGAAAGAGAGGGAAAGAGAGAGAGGAAAGAAAGGAAGGAAGACCCAAAGGAAATAAAGAATGACTCACTGAATGAATGAATGTCAACGATTCTATTGCGACTTGGCCAAGTGCATGCGTTGTTGATGCCCTGGACTGAGTGCCCATCCCATAGGCTGAGCCCTGTACCGGGCATGTGGAGGAGAAATGGAGGAAAGAGGAGACAGGATGGTGTATCCCCTCCCAGAGACTGAGTTTCCCAAAGATGAGGATGTATCTTACTGTTAGACCAGGGGATCCCTGAGGATGGGAGCTGTGTCCCCCCTTCAGTTCAGGGGCTCCCTGAGGATGGGGGCTGTCCCTCCTCCATTGGTCTGAGGGCTCCCTGAGGATGGGGGCCGTGTCCCCCCTTCAGTCTGGGAGCTCTCTGTGGGTGGGGATTATGCTTTGCTCATTGGTCTGAGGGCTTCCTCAGGATAAGGGGGATGTCTTCCCCATCAATCTGGGGGCTCCGTGAGGATGGGAGCCGTGTCTCTCCCATCAGTCTGGGAGCCCTCTGAGGATAGAGTCTGTGTCTCCCCTATGAGAATGGAGTCTTTTTGAAATGGAGAGACTGGGTTAGGGTTAGTAGTAGACCAAGGTCTCTCAGAGAAGGGCACTGTTTCCTCTTTCCTCTGTCTTTCCTCCTCAGACCCAGCACAAAGGGCACTGAGGCTTTAGGGGTAGTGGGCAGCAGCAAATCTCATGAACTGGATGGCTTTCCATGTACCTTGAACTCAACCAGATGGGTTTTTGCCCATCTCTGTCAAGTTCTGCCTTAGCCAGGAGGGGACCTTCTGAGGATACAGGATCACAGGATTTCAAGCTGGAAAGGACTTTTGAGATCATCTTGTCCAACCCTCTTATTCTACAGAGGAGGAAACTGAGGCTGAGAGAGATAAGTGACTTGTCCAAGGTCACCCAAGCAGTAGAAGCCGGGATTTGAACCCAAGCCCTCTGATTTCAAATCCAGTGCTTTCCTCACTAACCACCATGCCCATGCCATTGCTTCCAGGCAGGGTGGCTCCTGAGGGTGCATCTCCATCTTTTTGCAGGACCACTTACTTACCTCTGGGAACCCTGCCCCCATGTCAGGGGGAAACAGGATCCACCTTTGGGACAAGACCCCCCAATTTAAATGGGACAGTCCTTGAGGTTTCCGCCTATGGTATCATCCGACACTTCACCAGGGATGTTTTCTTGGGAAGGAACTGATGGTGAATTAATGAGGTCTTGAAGTGCCAAACCGCAGTCCCTGAGGGCTGGCCACTGTCCTCAAGGAGCCTGGGAGTCTCTGAACTATACCCATTCTGTTTGCTCCGGTGCCCAAACTTTCAGTGTATCAGGCCAGAAGGATTCTAGCCAGCAACAAGAGAGTGGCTACTTAAAATGACTGCACTCATGTTTTCACAAAATCACAGTCATAGGTCTAGGGGCAACCTTCAATCTCATGAACGGGGAATTTCTGAGCTGAAATTGGCCTCAGAACACAGAATGTCAGAGCTGGACAGTAACTTAGAACATGAATGCTAGTCATGAATTCTAGAACCAGGATGGACCTGAGAACACAGGACATTAAAGGCAGAAGAAATCTTAGGACATAGAATGCCAGGCCTGGAAGGACCTTAGAACATGGAATACCAGGCCAGGAAGGGACTCTCGGACAATGCCTGAACTAAAGGACAGCCTAGAACATAGAATACCTGAAGAGGAAGGGGCTTTAGAACCTGGAATTTCAGGTCTGGAAGGGACCCTTGGACACAGAATGCCAGTACTAAAGGGAAGCCTGGAACATAGAATACCAGAAGAGGAAGGGACCTTAGAACATGGAATACCAGGCCTGGAAAGGACCCTCAGACAATGTCTGAGCTAATGGGAAGCTTAGAACATAGAATAGAGAGGAGGAAAGGACCTTAGAACATGGAATGTCAGAACTTGAGAACACAGAATGTTTGGAAGTCAAGGGCCTAGAACATAAGAAGCAGAAAGCGGTCTTTGAGGCTGTTTGGTTCATCCCCTTTCTTTTGGAGAGGAACAGATGAGGTCCAGAGAGGGGGCCTGGCCTCCCTCCGCATCCTCTAAATGGCAGGACCAGGCCTTTTTTCTGAGCTCTATCCTACACGCCCCCTACACGCACACTGCACCATCCCTTTGACTGTGAATTACTGGCTGATAGACTTGGTCCCCAGCTGCGTGGCCTGGGGCAGACTCCAGCCAGTCTCCCCACTTGTGAGCCCTGGAACGGGTCACTGGGCATCTGGTTCACAGACACCGAGCAGGGAGGTCTGTCAGAGGTCACCTTGTCCAAATCCCTTGCTCTGCAGCCGATGGGTCTGAGCAGCACAGAGAACGGAGGGGGTTCATCTGAGGCCAGAGGGAGTCTAACCCTGCCCCCATTTGACAGAGAGGCAAGCTGAGGCCCAGTTAGACTGGCCAGCTGGTTGACCATCACTTTGTCATGGCTCGTGGGTGGAAGCTGACTCTGGTGGGATCTTGAGTTTCCATTAACTCTTTGGCTACGTCCTCGCTCGGTCAGGTGTCCCCATGGCCCCGTCAACCCCCGCATTCTCTTACTTACCCAGTGGGGCAGGCCTGTGCCTGAGAGGTGAAGGGACAACTCACCCGACATCTTGACCAAGACTGAGGCCGAGCCCGAGAGCTCGGTCATGGGGTTTTTGGCAATGCAGGTATAGGTCCCTTCCTTGTCCTTGGTCATTCTGTTGATGCTGAGAGAGCTGGTGGTGCTGTCATGGGGCCGCCCATTGAGAGACCACGTATACTCGGGGTCTGGGCAGGACCTGGTCACGCACCAAAGTATTAGAGACGCATTGAATTCGGCTTCCACAGTGCAGCCTGTCCGGAAGGCGGATTCCTGGACAATTGTTACTCGATCCGGGCCATCTTGGGAGAAAGCACAGAGAGAGGCCCGAAGGAGAGCAATGGGGCTGGGGGGAGGGAAATTGAGGGCTTCATCGTCCTGGAAGCCTGGGCTCTTGTTGTGCCCTTGGGCATGCCTTCTAGGCATGTTTTCCTATCTATAAAATAGATCTGACATTTTCTAGTCTAAGGTCCCTCCCAGCTCTTCCATTCTCAGTTCTAAGGCCCTTTCCAGCGCTGACATTCCCTGCTCTGAGGCCCCTCCCAGCCCTGACATTCCCTGTTCTGAGGCCCCTCCCAGCTCTTCCATTCTCAGTTCTAAGGCCCCTCCCAGCTCTGACATTCTCTGTTCTAAGGGTCCTCCCAGCCCTGACATTCCTTGCTCTGAGGCCCCTCCCAGCTCTGACATTTCCTGTTCTGAGGCCCCTCAGCTCTGACATTCCCTGTTCTGAGGCCCCTCCCAGCCCTGACATTCCCTGTTCTGAGGGC